CAGCTGTGGTTGGAAACAGGAGACACTGGATGACACTGCGCACATGAAAAACATGCAAAACAACAACATTATTCAGCATATAGCCGAACTTTTTACATAAAATATTCACATTCAACCCCCAACGTAACTGTAATTTACCAGTAACTGTAACAGATTGCAAATACATTTATATTGTAATTAAATTATGCTACTAAATTAGATGTAACTAGTTACACCCCATCACTGGTCTTCAACCCCAACTGATGCTGACTGAAGTGACTTGGGGACATTTATCAGACTTCACACAGCTCCCTCTGGAGACACTAAAGGCTTCATACGACTTGTTTCACCTGCAGTAGCACAACAGCAGGAAACACACTTCGATGAATCAATGTGTAAATGTGAGTCCCACTTTAAGTGTCACAAGGTTTTTCTTTAAACCACATCTCATGACCTCAGCGTAGAACTTCCTGTGATAACAGGAGGTCGCTCAGTGGTGTTTTATATTACAGCGTAATAATGTAATGGCATCAGTGCTTCGAAGCTGCAGCAGATCTCAGTCTCGTTATGCAGATGATATTATAATGAACAGCGTTGTCCCTCCATTAGCAGGCTGGACTGAAGGAGCTGCAGCAGGGGCTGCTGGGATTTTGACAGCTCTGGGGTGGTGGTTATGGCTGAGGCAGCAGGGGCTGCTGGGAGCTGCTGGTGCCGTGGAACGATGCCTGGGCCGCCAGCAGCGCTCCTCCACTTCTTCTGCATCGGCCACAATCTGAACCCCCCCCAACACACACACACACACACACACGCTCAGCAAGCCGTGTCTTTGTCTGGCGTGTCCACATACATCTGTCATGCATGGCAGCGTTGGCAGTGACAGTCTGCTATTGTTGCCCCCCCCCCCCAAAGAAAACCCTGTCCACCCCCTCTTTCAGCAGGAGACGCAGCCACAGTTTGGGGTAATTGCTGGTCCTAATTAGTTCACACACACATTGACACACACACACTCACATAAACACACACACACATATATGCCAGAAATACTGATTAAATGCCCAAATCCTATTAAAGGGAAGCTTCACTGAAACAATGTGATGTTTATTTTCCAAAGCACCATTGTTCACCCCTGAATCGATACAGAGGAAGGTTTATCTCTTAATTCTGTGTTTAACAATGCAGTTATTATGAAGTAGTTGGACTCACACTACCAGCACGTCCCTACCAATATCCAGCGACTGCTGAATTATCCCTCGCGATCACTGTGATCAAAACAAATAAATAAAAACACTGTTGTCTGTCAGATTCAAGCCAATGTATTTGGTACACAAACAGCTCTTGTTCTACTGCGAGTCCAATGTGTTATTTAAGTTTTGAAAGATTATGTCCTCCCCTCCTCATCTGCCTCACAGTGGTTTGGTCCGCTGTCTATACCTTTTTCAGACTCTCACTCACTTTATTTCTGCAAGTCTGCACTGGGAGATGTTTTTATTGAGCCCACCAACAGTGACATGAAATATTTACACCTGCACCCAACAGTGATGACGTGAGACGTTAAACCACCATAGGCTATAAGAAAAAAAACAGGGTGTTGATGGTACCCTGCAGAGTTTCTGATAATTCCTAGCACTGTTTTTAGGAAAGGAAATCCACAGTCCTGCCGATGGTTTAACACTATTTCACTGTGGAAAAGAAGAAGAAGACTGCAAGCAAGTAAACATGAATGTGAAAAATGCAGGTTAAGATTTTTAAGATATCGCCTTTTAAAAATGTTTTTGACGATAAAGGAAATGCATTCAGCGCGTTTGTAAGACCTTTAAACGTTTTTTTGAAGACACAGTTCTCAACAATTATCTATTCTGAGCCAACTCATTGCCTCATTAGATCTACATGTTTCCAAAAGTTGTGAATGATTCTTCACACTCACGTATGTTTACAAGAGAACAGACTTCAAGGATCAGGACTAAGTGGTTGGTTTTTAAAAGCTATGCTGGGTTTAGTTCTCTACCTTTAATGGAGAGGAGCTTCACTAAGCTTTTCTATGAGATGCACCTGAGATTGTTTTCCATGCGGTGGTTGAGATGCTCCCAAACAGGACAGTAACTCTCTGTCAACAATGTAAATCTGCAAGTCAAATAGAGGTGGAAACTACAAATCCCTAAATCAGTCATTTCTGTTTAGTTCATCACTGATAATATAGTTTGTCCATTTTAATTTGTACCGTTCGAAAGGTTATCATCGTCACTCCCGCATCATGATAGTTTCTTTAGTTTAAGGTTTTCTCAGCTTTTAAACAGACACAGCTGAGCTGACAGCAGGGCTTTCAGGCTCAGGTGGAAGGAGCTGCAAAGCTAAAAGCCGCTGAGTCAGTTAACGAGTACGATGAGTCACCCCAGCCGGTTCATCTTGAGAATTTGGTGTTTGAGATTTGTTCATGCGTGTACTGAATCACCACGATTCCAGTCAGCTAAATGAAGCTAATAAACAGTGTTACCCTTCAAAATGTTTGAGCTGAGTTGGTTATTATGATCCTCAAGCAACTGAGACTGGAGTCACAGTTGCTTGAGGATCTCTAATCAGAAAAGGAGCCAAACAAGAAGAAATGACTCAACTTTCACTGCGGCGTTTGATCTGAACTGAACTCCTGCTTCTGCTCAGCAAAGTGTTGCTTTAAGCTGCAGGCTGTTGTCATGGATGCTGTAACCTGATAGTAATCAGGGCTTCGCAGGGGGAATACATGCAAGCGCCTCTACTCGAAGTAATCACTGGAGCGTAGCCTTGTTGGCTCCCAGGAGCCCGGACACCGCCACAACCCTGATTTAATCTGCTCATTATTACACGGAAAAATACTGTCAAAATACACCAGCAGGTCTGGGATTTATATGAGTGGCTGCCTGATTTGGAAAGTTTAAAGTTCACCTGTTAATTTAAAAATCACAACAACTTTGTTTGAATAAAAGCTAGAGAGCAAAAAACCTGAAGCACAAGAGAATAAAGAAGCGATTTCAAACTCACTGGAAATATCTGATAAATCCAGACTGATCAGTGCTACTGAGGAACATAGGGGTGTTGATGAGAAAGAGATATTTTATCTAATTATTTGTAATACAATTTCAATGTGAACAGTTGATTTTGTTAATCCATGAAAAAGTATGAATTACATTGCAGCTCAGCATCCAAATCTGTTTAAGATTTAAAGCACCATCGATCCTCTCTACACTTTCTTTAACACTGACTTCCACTTTCAGTCTGCAACAAACCACCTGTGGAGAAGGCTGAAGGGGAAACTTTGTGACCCTGTGTGTGCAGCATTGTTGGAAGCAGTGGATCCATTTAGCAAACCACAGCGCCATCTAGGGTTAAAAGCACAGAAGCTCCACACAGAATGCACGGTGTTAAAGCGACAGAGGTGAGATCATGTCCTGTGAAAGGAGTGTACTTTCAATAATTACACACAAATTCGCACTGGTTGTTTTTAACACTCACAGTATCTCACATTTACTTCAGGTTCTGCGGGCGGTTGTTCTGTGGGTCAGGCTGAAGGGGCACCAGCATCCTCCTGCTGAATCCTTCTCACAGAGGCTGCAGAAGCTGGGATTCTTGGGATATGCTGTCTTCTCTGGATTTGAGGTTCTCACTAATGACTTGCCTGTCTCCTCTGGAGCTTTCCCGTGATCCAGTCTGGGTTTAACGCTATCCAGATGCCAAAGCATTGTACTCTGAGATGTCAAAGATGAAAAATATCACAAGTGGCCAGCGAAGGGTTTTCCTTTTGCAGCTGTAGCCAGTCACCAGCTTTGGTGGCAATATAATCCATGATGAGTTCTGGTGTTTGGGCTACACAGTCTCCCTATGCAGCGTACTCATGAGTACCACATTTTTGCCTTTTTAAATATTTACAGTACATTTACTTTACTCATTTGGCAGTCGCTTTTATACAAAGCGACCTGTCAATAAAGTAAGACATCTACAAGTGACAATAAATACTACACCACATGTGTAATATAAATGTGGAGGGGTTGTGTATAGTGTTCATTGAAAATTACATTTTATATGTTCTTCACAGAAAATGAGCCAAAGCCAAGGAGTCCGAGGTTGAAAAAATAATTTTTATTTTTAACATTAAAAACGGGTCCAATAAACCCAAACAAAAGCGTTAAAGTCTGATTCTAATGTTTTTTAAACTCAGATATTTAACTTTTAGTGTTTTTGTCAAACAAATGAATCTATGTGTGTCTATGTTCCTAAACCTGAATCCACTGCCCTGGTATTGTGATAGATAAAGTTCATAAATCATACAAACATTCTTAGATGGTGCGCTGGAAGACTTTGGACCTCATTATTTACATAATTCTGGCTACAACATTGATCAGTGTGTCTGTTTCTGAGCTGGCTGACGATGGCTCAGTCAGTTCAGACGTGTCATGACCAAGGACTTTATAACCTTTTTTAATGTGCTTGGAGACGTGAGTGACATCGTTTAGTAGCCCGCTTCACAGGTTATAATTATTTTTGAAAGTTGTTTTTGATTGTTTGCAGATTTTAATGTTGATGTTCTCTCTGTGCTGCATTTTACATATTTAAAGGCTTTCTGAACATGTAAGTGGGGGAGGGCAGGTCCCCCTAAATTGTCATCCAAATCTGAGTTTGCCCTGGATTTCGCCTCTCAGGCAATACAGAGGTTTCCCTGACTTATTAGTGCTGCTAGGGCTGAAAAAGGCACTGTCTCCTCATATGCATGTCTTTGTTTTTAAGAGATACTTGATCCCTGTCTTTATTTGAGGTTACTATTATTTTAGAACTGAACATCAACCAAATGTAAAGCACAGTGCTCTTCATAGTAAAGATAGAAATGCAACTGCATCGTGTTGTTACAGAGCCTTTGACTACACAGAAAATATATTTAATATACTAATGTTTAATCATAAAATAGCTAAAATGACTTTTATGTCAAATGTTGTAACATATTTAGTACAAAACATGACTTAGTGCCAAAACTTGCATTGCAGTTGCTCGTCTCTAAAAGCACCAGCAGGGGGCAGTCAAAGACCAGGGATACAACTAACAAACGTCAGCACAAAGTGGTCAGTGTCACTGAGCATGCTCAGATCCACCCAAACTCTGACGATCCTGCATGTGTGTGACCTTAAGTGTTTAAGGGAAGTGTTTGTGGTCAAAGTCTAGTCCTCCGGGAGCCTCAGTCTGGTGCACAATGGTGAGTTTTCACTTCATTACTTTTGGTTTTAAACTTTAAACATTTGCACCGAACCGAATCCAAAGCAGAGAAATAGAAAGCAGATGTTGTGAATCCACTCTGCACTCAGGTTGTTTCCCCTGCGACTCTGAGAACTTTAGAAGTGGGAGAACTTTTCAGTCCACGATAGGTCTCATCTTCACACCGCCATTATTTCCACAAAGTGGTCTCTCTCTGTACAAATTAGTAGTATTGAACTTTCCTGTATGACATAAGGAAATGTGTGAAGATAATTTTCTTTGAACTGCAAAATAAGGTTAATCGTCATTTTGACTTGAGCCTCTAAAGGCCCCATTTATCAGTAGTGCTGAAACTCATGCAAGTAGAGGTGTAAATGCAGATCGTGACCACATCCGATCTGATCAAACCACCTCCGGATGTGGTCCAGGCCGCATTGTGACCACATGGCACATAAGTTTAAATGCATTGCATGCTTTGTCAAAAATAAACCGCTTGCGGTCTTCCGCAAAAAAAAAAAACTGACTGCGCAGACAGGCGTCGTGAAGTCAGAATAAAGTTCTGAAATAACAGAAAGGAGCAGGCAAGGAAATGATACAAGGCGGAAACTTTCACTTTCACTTTGTGGCTGAGCTGTCACAGTTACTGAAGAGAGGAACACGTGGGGGTTTAACCCATAGAGGAAATCAAATCGTGATGGAAAGCCCACTCACAAAGGTGTTTGTAGTATTATCTGTGTTATCTGTAGTTCTGAAGCATTGTTTGGAGGCCGGTGTGTGTGTGTGTGTGTGTGTGTGTGTGTGTGTGTGTGTGTGTGTGTGTGTGTGTGTGTCTTCACCTCTATTAGAATCACTACGAATCTACATAACAGAAATGAATTCATAGTGAATTCTAGAGAAAATGTAAATAAAAATGTCCTCAAATATGATGATTATTGAAGCTAAAGTTGGACAGTTAGTTCACACATTGACCCGTCAACATGTAGAGTAAATAAATGTAAAGTAATGTGATGTTGGCTCCAAGACCAAGGACTTTATAACCTTTTTTAATTTAATGTTTTAAATTATTTTTGAAAGTTGTTTTTGATTGTTTGCAGATTTTAATGTTGATGTTCTCTCTGTGCTGCATTTTACATATTTAAAGGCTTTCTGAACTTGTAAGTGGGGGAGGGCAGGTCCCCCTAAATTGTCATCCAAATCTGAGTTTGCCCTGGATTTCGCCTCTCAGGCAATACAGAGGTTTCCCTGACTTATTAGTGCTGCTAGGGCTGAAAAAGGCACTGTCTCCTCATATGCATGTCTTTGTTTTTAAGAGATACTTGATCCCTGTCTTTATTTGAGGTTACTATTATTTTAGAACTGAACATCAACCAAATGTAAAGCACAGTGCTCTTCATAGTAAAGATAGAAATACAACTACATCGTGTTGTTACAGAGCCTTTGACTACACAGAAAATATATTTAATATACTAATGTTTAATCATAAAATAGCTAAAATTACATAAAATGACTTTTATGTCAAATGTTGTAACATATTTAGTACAAAACATGACTTAGTGCCAAAACTTGCATTGCAGTTGCTCGTCTCTAAAAGCACCAGCAGGGGGCAGTCAAAGACCAGGATACAACTAACAAATCAGCACAAAGTGGTCAGTGTCACTGAGCATGCTCAGATCCACCCAAACTCTGACGATCCTGCATGTGTGTGACCTTAAGTGTTTAAGGGAAGTGTTTGTGGTCAAAGTCTAGTCCTCCGGGAGCCTCAGTCTGGTGCACAATGGTGAGTTTTCACTTCATTACTTTTGGTTTTAAACTTTAAACATTTGCACCGAACCGAATCCAAAGCAGAGAAATAGAAAGCAGATGTTGTGAATCCACTCTGCACTCAGGTTGTTTCCCCTGCGACTCTGAGAACTTTAGAAGTGGGAGAACTTTTCAGTCCACGATAGGTCTCATCTTCACACCGCCATTATTTCCACAAAGTGGTCTCTCTCTGTACAAATTAGTAGTATTGAACTTTCCTGTATGACATAAGGAAATGTGTGAAGATAATTTTCTTTGAACTGCAAAATAAGGTTAATCGTCATTTTGACTTGAGCCTCTAAAGGCCCCATTTATCAGTAGTGCTGAAACTCATGCAAGTAGAGGTGTAAATGCAGATCGTGACCACATCCGATCTGATCAAACCACCTCCGGATGTGGTCCAGGCCGCATTGTGACCACATGGCACATAAGTTTAAATGCTTTGCATGCTTTGTCAAAAATAAACCGCTTGCGGTCTTCCGCAAAAAAAAAAAAAAAACTGACTGCGCAGACAGGCATCGTGAAGTCAGAATAAAGTTCTGAAATAACAGAAAGGAGCAGGCAAGGAAATGATACAAGGCGGAAACTTTCACTTTCACTTTGTGGCTGAGCTGTCACAGTTACTGAAGAGAGGAACACGTGGGGGTTTAACCCATAGAGGAAATCAAATCGTGATGGAAAGCCCACTCACAAAGGTGTTTGTAGTATTATCTGTGTTATCTGTAGTTCTGAAGCATTGTTTGGAGGCCGGTGTGTGTGTGTGTGTGTGTGTGTGTGTGTGTGTGTTGAGCCCTACAGGATCACTGAACGTGGACATTGGAGATGCATGTCAATTTGTTTTAAATCATATCTCCATACAGTCTGTAGAGGAGACACATGCTGCAGGGCCCTAATGTTGGACAGAGATTCAGTGTTTGGATAAAAGCTAACTGCCGCAGAGGAAATTTGTCTTTTAAAATCTTGTTAAAGATCTTGTCAGATTCACCGAGCTGCAGAAGATCCTCCACACTGAAAACATTTAACTCTAAAATGTATCTCTGGTGTCTCATGAGCCATTTTAGCCAATGACCCACAGCAGCTCATGCAGGAACAAATTAAACCTTGTTCAGTTACCATTTAATGCAGGCCATTAATAAAATGACGATGTAATTGAGGTTAAGTCTCTTATCCTGAGTTTCAGTGAGCATTTCGGTAGGTTAAACACTGAAAGTGCTGCCTCCTTTTAGACGTCTGTCACCTTATTAAGACGGAGCATTCTCATTTCTGTGTGGCTCTTCTTCACCTCTATTAGAATCACTACGAATCTACATAACAGAAATGAATTCATAGTGAATTCTTGAGACAATGTAAATAAAAATGTCCTCAAATAGGACTTTTAAAAGATCAAATATGGTGATTATTAAAGCTAAAGTGGACAGTTAGTTCACACATTGACCCGTCAACATGTAGAGTAAATAAATGTGAAGTAATGTGATGTTGGCTCCACCTCGCTGCCTCTTGCTCTTTGTGGACCTGTGGATCAATGTGAGCTTCACTTATGTTTGGTCACGTGACTGCTTTCTCACTCTGCGGGGTCAGAGGTCAGCCGGGTGTTTGGTTAAGCGCAGTGATCCTCTTAAAGAGCTGAATGGGCCACTCACACTCACACACACACACACACACACAATGAACAAGAGCTTTCTGTCCGATTTGAAATTACATTTTTGCTTTTCAATACATTTAGAGCCCATTTTAAATGACGATCGCACAGCTGTTGGACAAGTAAACAGACAAAACAAGTTTAAATGACGAGGCTGTAAATGGTTTTGTTGACGTTCAAAGATCGGCCGACTCCAAACCCAAAATAAGTGGGCCATCCTTACAGAAAAATTATGTGTCATGAGTTGATGATGAACAACAGAGTAGCTGATAAAGATATAGCGGCTGCGTCATTATTTTGTTAATATCCAGTTAAACCTTTTAAATTTCGCTTAATGTGCATATTTATTTTGAAATAAACAAGAATTATTGAATTTAACAAATACAGAAAACACACAATATCTAAAAAAGTGTTAAAAATACAGTAAAAATTTAAGAAAATAGATGGAAAAACTGAATAAATTAACAAATAAAACCATCTTTTTGTTGCAGAGTTCAGCAGGAGGAGGCTCGTCCCTGCAGGTCCACGCGGTCCGGTTCGGCCCGGGTCAGGAGCTGCTGGGATCTTTGCAGACGTTCGTGGAGGAGAGGCGACTCCGAGCGCCGTTCATCATAACCTGCGTCGGCAGCGTTACAAAGGCAACGCTCCGGCTGGCCAACGCCACATCAACAAACACAAATGAGGTCAAATATTGTTTAACTGTTTATAACCACAAATACAGCCGAGAAATGTAAGAAATAAAACTACAAAACAGTCACAACTTGTTCATTAAAAGTCCATATGTCGTTGTAAATCCCTGTAAATATTAATACTTCGAAGTGTAAAATGTAATTTAATCCACTGACATGAATGAGATCAGCACTTTCATCAGGTTTTCTCAGCTTGTCTCTACATGATGTGTAAATAAAGTTTTGTCACCATAAATAAACCGTGCTCAGTACCTAGACTGAACCTGGATGACGGGCTGACCTTCACTGCAACTGTCACTACGACAACCCGCTCCTGCAGATTCGTCCTCAACGCCATCAGGAGGATACGTCCGTTCCTGGGTGAGGAACGGACGTATCCTCCTGATGCAGGTTCTGGCCCAAGCTCTTGCGCCATCCATCCTCTGCAGCTCGTCCAGAATGCAGCGGTCCAGCTGTTCTTCAACCTACCGAAGTTTAATCCACGTGCTGCACTAATGGCTGCTCTAATCCAATTCAAGACACGTGCACTTGCCTATCGTGCTGCAAATGTCTCAAGGCCCATCCTGTATCCAGGTCATGATCAAGCAGAGGAACCCAAACCACCCTTTGCCGAGCCACATTAACCAACTCTGACTGGGGGATCCCGAGGCGTCCCCAGGCCGGTGTGCAGATAGAATCTCTCCACCTTGTCCCAGAGGTAATGAATGTAATGTTAGCTTGTCATGATGTCAGCCTTTTCCCTCAGGTGGTCCACCTCAGCGGGCGGTTCGAGATCGTCTCCCTGGTCGGCACGTTAAACCCCGACGCCCACCTCCACATCTGCCTGTCAGACAAGGAGGGCAAGACGGTCGGTGGTCACGTGCTGGGAGATCTGGAGGTGTTCACCACAGCCGAGGTGGTCGTCGGCGAGGCGGTCGACCTGCAGTTTACCAGAGAGATGGACGTGGGGACGGGCTTCCCTGAGCTTGTGGTTAAAGCGCGCTCACAGACGGGCGAATCGGCCTGATTGGACTGACTTTAACTCCCTCGTGCTGCTATGTTAATGTACGAAAGTGTGTCCAAGGCACTGATCACTCTGTTTGATCGCAAGATGGGAAGGGAAATGGGGAAAATTGCAATTATCAAATCTGAAGAATCTGACAGTTGAAGGAGTAAAAATAGGTTCACCAGATACAGCTGCTGTCGACGCCATGTTTTATTATGAAAAAGCTAAAATTGAATGATCTTGTGCAGCGAATCCACTGTTGTCCCATGATTCCTGTGTTAATATGTTATGTACAAACACATAAATGAACAGACTGACTGGCAGCTGATGACACAGGCTACATTAGCCTTGTTAGCTTAGCTACTTGTACTGTAAGGTTTGTACAGTACATTCAAAAATTTCAGTGGACTCGTACAACAAAACACTGAGTCCAACTCAAAGCATCAACTTGCCAATGGACAAAATCGATAAATGTGCATGGCTGTGCAGAAAGACAAGTTAAAACACAGAGATGAACACAAACGTCCAGTGTGTGCCCAACATCTACAGGGGATGCAGCTTACAAACACACACAGAGCAGCCCCAGCAGCCAATAGGAGCCGCTCTGCGGGGGTCTAATAGATGTTAAACTGAGCGGCGGCCTTTCAGACCCTCTGACCCCCCTGGTTGTGACAAGACAAAGGGAGGACCCCCCTTTAAGGATTAGTCATGACCTTGGCTCGGTCATGGCCGTCGCCGCGAAGAAAGGAAAGCCTCCGTTGCCGTGTGGCGGGCGGGTCGGAGGGAGGGGAGAGGGGAGTGGCAACAGCCTTTTGATGGAATCCAGTTCATTGAGTTTAATTGGACCTCAGCCTGGCTGACGTGTTCTTCATTACCGTGAACACACAAGTGGTAGCTTGTTTTACCTCAGTCCCACATACACCGCCCGGCCCCTGGACGAACTCACAGCTATTACTAGTACAAATTTGTTTTAATCCACCACTGAAAATAGTCCTCCGGTTTGAGTAAAGTAGTAATGAACAGTACAGCGGCCCACGAGATCAACATCGTATCAAAGCGGAAATGTTCTCACGATAAAAACATTTCATACCATTTGATTTCAATAATTATCACAAGTCAAATCATTATTCCTTTCAAGTTTAAAGGCTGATTTTTGCCCCTGAGTGAAAGTTGAACATTCAAAACAATTATGATAAATGATCTTTTTTTCTGTCCCTTTTCCTCAACAAGATAAATATCTTAATAGAAAAATAAAGTGCTAATTCATTCGTGATTCTAATGAATTTAATCAAATATTTATTGACGAGGAACCCAAGTTTCAAGAGGCATTTCAATTCAACTGTTAATTGGTAGGAAGTTATTAGAGGAACCTGCTGATGGCCTTTTAAGAACGAGTCTTTTTTTGCTGGTGTGATTTTGGAAGCATTTTCATTCACAAGGTCTAATGCGGGAAAAAATACCAGTATGGCAGCTTCCTGTATCAAGATGTGTCTCAAGTCTTGAAAGTTGGGTCTTCTTCCAAAACCAGCACACCACAAAGGTACATTTTTAAAACATTACCTGTTTGCAATATAATGAGTCAGGTTGCCAAACAAATTAATGCACGTTTCCATCCACTCCCATTATGCAAATATTAACAGTTTGTAACATTAAGTCTTCAATACATTATTGTAGAAGAAGACGGTGCAACAAAATGATGGTTTTAAAGAATGTGTGATTTGTTGTTAATTAATAAAAAATGCTAAAACCACCAGTATGGAGAACTTTACGTTTCTCCCTCAGCACAGCGACACTTTGCGGGTCTTTGCAGTTGTTTGTGTTGCTTCCAGGAGGACGAGGCCGCAGGTCAGCGGGGCAGCCGGCCTGCCGCCACATTAAAGCAGAGCAACAAAGCGTCCCCGCTGCAGCTTTGTGCTTTTGTTTTGCTGCGTTGACGCAGCATGGTGGCCGAAAAGCGTTGGTGGTCTGCCCCGGTGGCCCCCTGGGAGGCGGTTTTACGCATCCAACTAAAGCGGCTCAGCTCACGTTCCTGACAAATTGAAAGGCGACACAGAAGCCCAAAGCGGATGTTCTGGATTTGAAATATATCTTTTGATCTAAAGGCCATTCAACACACTTCTCATCTTTTTGTCTTTCTTTAAATGGCATCTTCATGTGGCAGAGATGATTAAACGTCCACAGTGTTGGTTTCCCTGTGCATACGTACGCTTAGATTTCCACAGATAAAATGTGACTTATCCTTGTTTGAAACATCCATGAATAACAAGTTTGTAGTGATGTTTGTTGTTTATTAATGTTGAACAGTGCGGTTTGCAGTTGGAGTCCTGCTGTGAGGGACCAATTACATTTTACTGAGATTCTCTCGCTCAACAAAGAGTTGACTTTAATCACTGCACAGCTGTAATGTTCGAAACCTCTTTGGCTGCGTTCACACTGCAGCTCAATCTGTTCATATGTTTTTGACAAGGAGATTAGAAGTTCTCACTTTTTGTTTAAAAAATAATTACAAATCATAATGTGTTTGTCTTTTAAATGTAGCCAATACTGGATAAAAGGTTGTTAAATAGAGCCAAGTTTTATCTCCTTCAGGTTCAATGTCCTCGAGATCTTTTGTCATGTTTAACATCTAGATTTTAGCTGACGTGTGCAGTTTTGCTCCTTGCTCACAGAGCTTTCACCCCTCTTACCTCTCGCTCCAAAAAAGGAAGAAGCTGTGTCTGTAATTAGATTTTAGCTTAAATCCTAGCCTGCTATCCAAAAGATCTGAGCAGCCAAACTCATGTTTGAGCGGTAGCCGAGCAAAATTGGAGCATGATGGAGATAAAAGACAACGCTCCAATGTTCGCTCTTTGCTCCATCCAAAATTCTCGTGCTACACTCACACATGCCATGGTTCAAACTGTAGCTCAAATCTCATATGAGTGTAAACGCTCTGCATAGCGCCTTTCTAGTCTTTGCAACCACTCAAAACGGTTTTACACTACATCGCATTCAAACATTAATACACTGAGCCAAAGTGCGGAAACTAACATTCATACATGGAACAGCCATCAGGGGCACATTGAGGTTCAGTATCTTGCCCAAGGACACTTCGACATTCCTGGAGAAGCAAGGGATTGAACCGCCGATCTTCCGCTTGATGGGCAACCCGCGCTACCTCCTGAGCGTTACCTGCCCAACATAGATACCATATAACATATGGGTATGATCCCATCTGGGTAAAAAGATGGCACCAACCTAATTTTTTTACTTAAGCGTACTGCGATGAGTAAGACACATTAACGCTGTGACCAGGACGCTGCTGAAAACAGCACAGTAAACAAAAACTAGTGACTGTACTTGCTGTCTTTAATTGAATAGCCACGAAAGAGCTGAGTCACCGTGAGAGCACATGCAAAAACAACACAAAAGTGTACACAGGGCATTAATAAGCCAAGGGGTGTTGACCAATCGTCCATTTGTGACGCTCTCTGCAGGAGCTACAGTAAAAATGCAGGACGGGTAGAGGCCTTAGTGGAAATGTTTCAGTGCCAACAGCACACATAAATGAAGACAAACAGGTGTGAAAGTGATTCTGTGCTTCCACACATCATTTACGAATCAACTCTCTGTAAAAGCCTAATAACTGGAGCAGACTGGGATGTCTTTTAAGATGGACACGATGTAAGTTCCTGCTGTGAGTTGGTGGAGAGACGGACTAATGGTCGTATTAGCCTTCTGTTCAGCGCAACTTTTATTTTTCCATCTTACAGGCTTCAGTAGAAAATAAGAAGAAGCAGAGCAAGTAGTCGTAGGATAAGACTGTTATGCAACAGTATCATCCTATGCGACCTTTATCTACCAGAAGTCTGCAGTTGCACCTATTTGCCGAATGGTGTTGCATTGCCCAACAGCAAAAGTTGAGCCAAATTCAATTGTTTAAAAAGACATCTGCTTTTTTGGGGGGCGTTTTGGCAGGAGCCTCTTCGTCAGCCCCCCATTTTGCATGGCACGACTGGTTAGCTGTGAAGAGGTGAAACAGTAGTTTGAACTTCTCTCTCTTGACACTTTTTATGTGACCAGCTGAGTGCAGCACTACTGTCTGGTTTGGATCTGCCACCAAAAAGGACAGGAGCAGACTACAACAGAGCAGAAATCATCTGTGCCAACCTGCCCTCCATTCAGGACTTACGCATTTCCAGAGTCCGGAAACGGGCAGGAAACATCACTGCAGATCCATCTCACCCCGGACACAACCTGTTCCAACTTCCTATAATGCAGATTTGCTGTGATTTTTCTCTCGCTTCAGGACTTCCCCTGTAACCCCTGTGTTTCACGTCATACTGCTATTTAACTGTGGGCAATGCCCTCAGGCAAAGTGCCTGCAGAAATGCGGACTTACGAAAAGGCTCAAAATGTCCACGAGAGAGCCCTCGCGCACTTGATGATTTGACTCACAGTGGCAGGAACACTTCTCTGTCTCTACTCAGCCACCTGTTTACTGGTTACCACTTACTTTTTATTCATCATTCTCTATTTCTGAGCTGTTCATACTGTTCATTTTGTTATATTGGATATGTATACCAAATCCACCTACACCTGCACATAATATTTATTCCAACATCTTTTGCAATCATCAAACTGTGTACATGTATGTGCATAATGATAATGATGGTAATAGTAATTTACTTCTGCATCCTTTGCACTCTGCTTATTGCACTACTGTCTCAATATGTCTATATTGTTATTGTTTATAGTTTGTGTGTGTATATATATGTTCTCATATCCTGGTAATAAAGAAATAAAGCTAATTTTGATTCTGATTCTATGAATGTCTTTCAGTTTAAGACATGCATGTGGAACAATTATCACGTCTCCCCCACTCTGTACGGTGGCCGGCTCTCCACCTTCTAGAGTGGCCTTTCCATACACTAGAAAACTAGCGGATGCTCTGGTTTTGAGGTTTTGACCCAGCTGTTGCAGTTCCAGCAGGCCTCTTCCTGCCCTGCTCAGGTGAATCTCCTCCCGCAGCAGTAGTGTCTCTGAGTGACAGACGAGGAGCAGAAAAGCTGGTGAGGAGGTTCGTAATTCCTCCGTTTAGTATCTGCTCTTTTCCTCATTAGTGACTTCTCCTCCCTTTTGCCTTTTGTCCGTCCTTCTGTATTATCTGTCAGAGTAATGAGCCGTGTGCGCGGCGCAGGGACTCCAGCGCTAAGCCGCCCCCACTCCGCCTCACTTCTAACAAGACCAACTCAGGTCATTTGTAAGTCGGCTGCCCTGTCTGAGAAGCCGTGGCGGCAGTCACAGGCCTGTGCACGGTGCAGGGATGCAAGCAGCCGGCCCCCCGGGGAGCCGCCGCCGCTGATCATCCGGCTTTCATGTGGCAGTCAAAGATCTCCTGAGCTAATGACTCGCAGCTCTGTTTGAATGTCGCAGCATGAGGCGGAGGGCTGGATGAATAACACACACAGATCAAAACATCTGAGCCAGCGCTGCTGAGGGAAGTTGTCACAAGTTTGGTGGGCTTCTACACCGACATTGCTCTTTTTTAAAAACATTTTAGGACACGCAGAGACACTGAGGATTATCAGACACACACACAAAATCAGAATTGCTGTGCACACAAATGGTTTTCACACAACAATGCATCCAATTGAGAAAGTTTCCCTTCAGAGGAGGAAAAACAAGCCAATTACTAAAGTAAAAGTGTCAAAACAACTGTGGCATAAATACTTTCTGTCTGTTTCTGTCAGAAATAGTATCTGTAATAAAATGTTATTAATGGTTCAGTGTGTAATATTTAGAAGGATCTATTGGTACATAACAGTTCATTATGTAAGGTCTTTATGTTTTAATACTTTAGAATGAGCCATTTCTATCCATGTTTCCGACTCTACAGAGTGCGTTTTGTCACTACTTACTCAGGAATAAGAAGAAGAAAGTAGTGACTGATTTATTAGAAATAAGAAGAGACTTGAAATTTGGACAAATGCAAGACCTCACGTAGGCCTATTATTCAGCACAAGAGCTGAAAGAGCGTGTCGGACACCTTAGCTTCTCCCCCGCACGTGGAGAGGAGGGGTGAGTGAGCCGTTGGTTGCAGTCAGGTTACAATTTGCAACCCTCACCAGTAGATGCCACTAAAACGTACACACTGAATGTTTGAAGCAACTACAATTAACTTTTATTTCGTGTTGATAAAAGGAGGACTTCTTCTTCGGTTCATCTTATTTCACGAGGCAGGACTTTACTGTCTTTTCGCTCCCTGTAGTTGCTTCAAGTACCTAAAGTAAAGGTACTCATGAGGAAGAAGAGCACAGTTTAGTTCCACTGTTGGCCCAGATTTTCATGTTTTCAGATCAGTTAAAGAAGGAAGAAATGTAAGAAAGGAGAGTGGAAAAAACTGAAACTAAAAGTTATCGTATCTTCAATCTGAAATAAGGCCATTCCTTAAAAGCTTTTCTTTTACCAGTCAGCTGTATCTATCTCATGGTGAGACACATCTTTGTTCATTGTGGGACTCTCCCTCTAACAAGAGATTTTGTTATTTACCTGCTATGCAGCTAAATGTCTTAACGAGGTCGTGGTGATGAAAGATGTTGGCATAAAGCCTGTTTCTCACCCAAGGTCAGATCGCTGCAAGAAAATATTGTCTGACATTGTTAGAGAAGTTTGAGAGATCTCTCGAAGGCTGAAACCACGGCAAGAGGAATTTTTCTTTTAGACGTCTCTTAATGTGGTTTTTAGAGTGAGATGTGGGTTTGTTTGAAATAT